ATACCGGTATGATAAACATAAGCCTAATTGTACCAGAGGGTTGTGAGGATTGGAACATTGGATGTGAGGTAAACTATTACCGTACAAATATGTTGGGTTATAACCTCAACAGGCAATACTATCTTGCATCCGACAACACCCTTCTTATTACTTTAAAATGGATGCATAAAATAAAAGTATGATCGAAGCACGCAATGAATGGTGTTCGTTTAGTATTACTACTTTTATTTAGAAGTAGATAAGAGAAGATTTAAAAATGCTTCACAAACAGAAGATACAACTACAATTAATACATGCATCCCTCTTGATTCAAATGGTGGCTCGTTTGTTTGTCGGTTTTTTTCTGCATCTTTTTTAGTGTTCGTACAATTCGAGGCACCTGACTTCAGCGTACACTGTGTTTAGTATTAAAACGGTTTCTCTTTGACTTCTTAGCACTCGGGTACATCTAACAATCACGAGCTCATCCACCATATCTGTGCGAACAACTAATATTTTCATCCCTCTTGTGAGGAATATTTTCACTCAAGCGATGAAAATGGAGTGCATTGAATACATGAGCGCAGCTTTCAGCGTTTAGGAAGTTGGCTTGATTACCCCGTTCATGCAACGTGAACTCAAAATTGCCTAGAGAATTTTTTTGCTTTGTAGTAAGGTTTCCTTCAGTCCAAGCTGCTGGGAGGGAAAGTAGTTTAACAGTATAAATTGGGGCAAGGTAATCTTGCTGCTGCTAGGTCGACACACGTGCTACGACCCTATACTTTGTAATGTTGAAGGTCAGAGCACCCGAGGAAGAGTCATTGTTAAGATGGTTCGTCAAAATGTAAGATGCCAAAAAGGCTAATCGTATCTTAGAACATGCGATAAAAGTAAAGTTAGGTTTGTACACTTTTTCTGAAGACGCTACATCTTTGGTCTAAGGTGTTAATCTTATATATTTTTACGTATTTTGGTAGTATGAAAGCTTTAAGGTGTGACCGAGGCAGGCAGTAGACCTGCCGCGCACCGAGCTCAATACTGGGGAATATACCCTGCATTTGCAGCATGCTCGGCATAAGACATAAATGAAAATCAAAACACACACTTGTACTTCTTAGTTGACGTGTCGCAGACAAAATGTGTGCAATTTAGGCTTATTTTTTATCTAGTTACTGGGTATGGTATTGTGAAGATCAACCTTGACCAACCCATTTCTATAGTGTAACAAAAATGAGTAAAGCTTATACAGGTTCACGTGAGATCAGCTTCATATCGTTCACCACGGCTACAACAATCGGAGTCCTAGGGATATGGAAAAAAAATTCATCTTAAAAAAAACCCTCACTCTATCGGTTATGTGTGAATTTAAATATGCAATCGTTGTCAAGAAACAGCTCGTTAATATTGTAGGTACCCCGCACTTTGTGTCTACGAAAACTGGACGTAACAAATAATTGTCGTCCGATAAAAGGGTGGGACGTAAGTCCGAAGTTGTTGCTAAGACGCAATAGCGTAATATATGACCAGAAATTGTATGGAGTCAGTAGATGTGGAGTATCCTTGTAATCCAGCACGTTGAGTTCATTCGGCGGCCTCTTGACGAACGTTTTATCCAGTACGCATTCACTATCTGTTAACAGTATCGGGGGTTGACAACATGATCAAGGCTAATTCCGCACAAGGGTACATGATGAGTTTATCGGTGCTTTTAACCTCATTGAAGTTTTCGGTCAAACCGATTTGTACTTCTCATGCTATTGTGTCACTCGTGACAGTGGCCGTCACATCAGCACAACGATCGTGCATCAAAGAGAGTACATTGCTAAAATCTATTTCATCAATTAAATACGCATGTTTTAACTAGTCACAATAATATTACCTTTTTTCGATACAGCCTTAGTCAGGACGTCGTCTATTTGAATGCGAGTCTCGAAGTAGTTCAGTTGAATGGCATTGGCCTTTAATTATCATGGATGAAAAATGATAACGAAAACCAATGTGCTTGTCACGACTTTGGTAACCCTCTTCTTGGCAGTAGCAATCACACATCGATTATCTTCTTACACAGCAATTTATGCTTCAATCTTGATGGTCATCACCAATATTAGCCTTTTTGGACACATCGATTTCGTAATGCACACGTAAGTGCCACAAATCCGGCTTCCTCAGTACAAAAGTACACATTGTGTTGTAGTTTCAACTCGAATATGACAGGGAAATTGGCAAATAATAAAATAAAGCCTGACGTGCAACATCGATTGGTTTTTTACCACCCCAATTTGTACTAGTAAACGCACTCTGCTCTAGTAACCCATACGAGCTCCGAAAACATATTCCATTAATTTTTAGTCGACTTTATGAAGCAAAAACAACACGAAAGCCGCATGCCATTGCTCTTCACTTGTCTTCTACGAACTCAATGTAGGGTCTTGATACAGTTGTCGCGTACAGCAGTGATCCCGCATGAAATTGATGTGGACCATCTCTAAGTTGTGGTCCTTCTTTTCCCAATCGCTCATAATTGCCTTTCTGCACTTAATATGCAAAGGATTTACTTTAACCTGACTGGATTTTTCTGACCTGTCTAGCAAGCATGCGCTTGACATTTCTTGAACTGATCCACACTCACATCATACCCGACCTCGATACATGATATGAAACGCATCTTCTTGAATGTCTTCATGTGAAATGACTCAGCAATTAGCTTATAATTTCCCTTACTGAGTGTGCCATAATACGTCCGATGAGAAAAAAGCGACATGCGAAGTCACGTAAACTTAAGATGAGCTGCTATCTTTGCGTGAGAAAACACACGATCCGAAAAAAGAATGTCACAAAGAAGTCCCATCTTCATAGTATCCCTTAAAACTTCTTACATCACGTTGCAAATGCTTGCTTAAGGACGTACAAAATTCGATTAAGATTTCAAAAATTGACAAGGGCTCTTGTCGACACCTTAAGGGACGTAGCTGTACAAATTTTTCTTCAAAATACCATCGACACATGCGCAATAAATATCTATCTGGCTGGTAATCAATATATCGTGTCAACAAACAATTAGGAAGATGCGAATCGAGTTCATGTTCGCGACTAAAGAGTACGTGTCAAAAATGTCAACTGCATAAGGCTGACACAGCCCCACCGCCGGAAATCGAGATTTAAAACGCTTTATCCGACCGTTTTCGATTCTATAATGGAGATACCCACTTGATTATGGTGAGCTTACATTAGTGTGTTCATTCACAATAGTCCTTGTCTACTTCTCGATAGTGCATAAAACTTGGTCTTAATTGCACTCCGTCTAAATAATTGAGAATAAATAACTTCATTTCGATCTTTCGATAAGGTTGCAAGTGCTGCATTAGCACGCTCATTTTCAATGCGATAGCTTTTCAGTCCACGCTCCACCCTTTCAATTCTTGTTGCGTCAACAAAATAGACGTTGACAAATTGAATGTCCAAAAAGCTTAGAATTCTGACTTGGTGGTAATGCAACTGGGCATTGTGATCAGCATATGTAAATACATGCAAAGCCCTCTGGGCAAAAATTTCCTGATCTATATCCACAACAAAGTCGTCTAGCATCATTTGAACATCATAATATCGGACCGAAATTCGGCCAACCTGGCGCGGACTTAAGACATCGAGCTCACTAGGAGGCTTAATAATTTGGTCACAGTTCAATCTAATCCATCTCCATCGGCTCTACTACACTCTAAGTATTTGGATCTAATTTTTTTAGCTGTTGTTTCATTACGATTCTATTAGGAAGTGCGAGTGTTATGACAGGTAAATTCCCAACAAATTGCTTTTATTTGACCTTAGGCATATTTCAAACAATACCGACCATGTAATGTCGACACGTTCGAAATAGAAATTTCTGGACGCGGTAGGCCTTTAATCCATACGAGCATACCAATACATGTACTATAATGCTTCTTTTCCAGCTTTGTTGTCAACGCCCGCGTAAAGTTCAGCCAAACGCGCGCATGAACGATATGTACGGCTTGGATCCAAGCCACAATTCGAATGGAGTCTTTTTCGGGCTAGCAGCATATAAAACTAGATACTTCACACGATCGGCAGCATTCATGGCTTCTACCCACCACTTCTAGTAGACGTGCATAAAATCGAGGATCAATCAAGCACGTTCTTTAATGTGTGTTCCATTCGTTCTTCCATTCCGAAATTTGTGGTGGACATGGCACTGTCGTTCGCTGCACATTTATGGAAAGTCGACAAACTGCTGTGAGCCGCTAATAATGAACTCGCCACTGTTTTCGGTGCGAATGCACTTGATGTGGATTGAGCAGATTAAACGGAATGTGCAATCAAGATGATACGACTTAACACGTGCAAAAGGCTCTCTTGATCAAATTAATGTCTTGTTATATTGTGTCTCGACATTGTGGAGATAGTACAAGGGTTGCATAGTCAAGTTGATCGTGGCGCGCTCGAGACCACATGTAGCAACAGTCTTCATGATCTCGTTATAAGCGTCTCCAGCATCATTTACAGAAATGATTATTTTAGAGCACACGAAAATCGTTGAACATCAGCTGAGCTGTAACGGGGTAGCCCGTTACATGAAATTGACACCAAACGGTGTCAATAGGAATATTGTCTAGCATGACAATATTCTACCAATATTATCCGAGATGGATAATATTGAAGGAATATTATCCCCTTGTAGGATAATATTCATGCGCTGCTCCAAGATTGGTTGATAAAAGACATATCAACCATAGATTACCACCAATCGCTGCTAGACGCGCGCAATGAGTGGTGAGCAGGTTGTCGTCATACGACGACGTAGTTTAATATAGTTAGATAAAGACTAAAGTTATATTGATAGCTTAACTATATTAAATACAGTTCTCTTTTGTACCCTTTACTTGATCGAGTCGTTCAAGTAGATTAGCTTCCTCTGCACGCACTAGTGTACGCAAAGTTTTGCGGCACCCCAAACAAAGGGTGCCCCGTTACACCTGGTAGAACTTAGTAGTCCTTCCAACACGAACATGTTGGACGTAGAAGACGACAGCTTTCACGTCACACGTGAAGGCTACTCCCATCTGAGTGACTCAGAATGGGAGGTAGTCGGCCGCATGAGTGTGCTCATGGGCGAACCCGCCATCAGTGGCATGTTGGAGTCTCTAAGCAGAGACCAGCAACATGCTGCTATCAACAAGTTCCTACAAGGGGAACTTGCCGTCGAAAGACAGAAGATAGCCTTGCTACAGCAGCAAGGCTCTCATCAGTCGATGGGCGGGCCGACGCACATGCGTCGACCCGAAACCTTGAAGATTGAGTATCTCAAGGTACAAGGGAACCGATGAAGATTCCCTTTTGAGATGGTTCGTCGAGTTAGACGACGCCATCAGGGCCCGTCACATCGAGGGTGACGAGATGCAAGTCACCTTCGCCCTGTCAAATTTGACAGGACGAGCAAAGACTTGGGCCTTAGGGCTCAAGCTTCACGACCCAAACGTGTTTGAGTCGTTGGAGACCTTTCAGGATCGGCTCAAAGAGACGTTTGAGCCGCCAAGAGCCGAGTTCAGAGCACGCTCTGCACTCTTGAGGCTAAAGCAAGGTAAGCGTGATGTGCACGCTTACGCACAACACCTACGCTACCTTGCGAGTAGCGTTACGGAAAACCCTGTTGATGAGCACACGCTCATCAACGTGTTCATCTACGGCCTTGTAGATGGGCCGGTGAAGACCTACATGTTCCGAGAGGGCTTCCATACGCTGGAAAGGCGATAGCGTATGCGGAACAAGAAGACTTCAGCCTGAGACAGTCTCAGGCTAACTCGTCAAACTATCGTCCGACGAGACGACAGGAAACAGGAGGTCCCGAACCAATGGACCTCTGTTACATCGAGAGCGAGAACTCTCGCTCTCTGAGTCACAAGCGAACGGCAAGATGCCATCGCTGTCAGAAGATTGGACACTACGCTCATGAGTGTAGTGTCCCAAGCACTACGAAACGTCCAAAGACAGGACGTGATGACCGCCGTTGGCCAAGGAAAGGTCCGAAGCGTGGGTCCGACCATGTCGCTAAGCCGCGACAGCAAGTCGGACCGTCAAAAAAACGGTCAGGGTCAGTAGGGGCGGAGCACCCTGCTGATCCAGCAACGTCAAGAGAATTTGCAGGACTCTTGACGAAGATTGCTCCCAACACACAGTCGCTGTGTGTTACTGCCCCTAGTGATGAGGAGTCCCTCATCACTTTGAAGATCGAAGTGACAAGTGGAATGTCACTTCGCGCCCTAGTTGACTGTGGGGCGTCGAACAGTTTTATTCGACCCCAGTCACTAGGGAATAGTATGATCAACTACGTTGGGCGAGAGTTCCCTCCAACGAGGATGACGGTGTGCCTTGCTACGGGCGCATCCGTAATAGTGAACAAACGTGTAGTGGGAATCCACTACACGCTAGAAGGAAAGCAGTACGATGATGACTTCATCGTACTCGATTTGGATGACAAATTTGATGTCATACTTGGTCTGCCGTGGCTTAGAAGCCATGGGTTAGCTGGCAGCATCGATCCGTGAAGATGCCTGCCGTTTGTTCATCAGATGGCCATCTGATGAACGTCTTGGAGCGTCCACAAGCGTGTGGATGTACTACGAGTGAGTGCGATGGCCTCACTTGTGGTACGGTCGTTAGTACGATTACACGAGTTCACAGTGTAGAAGGCCACTACACTGTGGAATCAAATTCCGGCACCTGTGTAGAGACACAGGCTGCGCCGAAGGTTCACCACTCGAAGAGATCGAGTGGACTGGAACACGGATGCACACCAAGAAGGGTGCATCCAAGAAGAGAGATTAGTGTTGTTCAGGATGAACAACACGTTAAAGCGAGATCGACTATCAGAGAGTCGATCGTAGAGCAAGCCCGATCGACTGAAAGAGAGTCGATCGAAGAGGACGTGACTGTGGTAGTACACCCACAGTCAGTACACGTAATGGAAGAAAGTTCCAGCGTTCCTGAGAGTGATAACTCCCGAGAGAGTTATGTTGAGGGTGTGGATCCCCAACCACCTGCGGATGTGTTTTCCCAGGAAATCACCGAGACAGTGAATGTCTTGGTGAATGACGGATCAAGTGTAGGCGCTTATACACTTGATCTGGTTACGCCTCCCGAAGTCAGCTTCGGAGGTAGTCAAGTTGCCAACGCTAGAATCTAAAAGATTCTTGCGAGATCTGCGTAGTGACAAGATCAAGCAGATCTGCGTACTCGTCACAGAGGACGAGTACGTCGCCGATATTCGGTCGGCACAAGTGTTTGCTGAGAACGAACGGGTTCTCAGTAGCTCATCGATGGACGAGAGTGTCCTCGATGAGAAGACCCGGATTGAGCGATACACGTCTCAATCTTGGGAGTCTTTAAAGACAAATCCTTTGTATAAGGATTTGGTTGGAATTCAGGGATGTTTTCCCGGAATCCGTGCCATGCGAGCTGCCCAAGGACAAAGGCACTCGGCATGAGATCGAACTGAAACCCGGTTCGAAGTACTGTGTCATGAAGCAGTGGCCACTGCCTCGTGAACAGGTCACAGCGATCGACAAATTCTTTGCCGATCGCTTAGCGGCTGGTCATGTGAGGGAATCAACATCCCCACACAGCTCTCCGACCTTCTGTGTGCGAAAGGCCACAGGAGGGTGGCGGATAGTGCACGCGTTCAACAAATTGAACGCTGCAACGGTACCGGCTCAAACGCCGATACCAAGAAAGGACGTCATCATTGATGGTATGGCAAAAGTACCATCTTTTCGTCCATGGATCTGATGGATGGATTCTATCAGATCCTCATGCGTGAACGGGACATCCCTTACACAGCAGTGAGCACCCCCAGTGGTATGCTCTGGGAGTGGCTAGTGATGCCACAGGGGCTAAGTAACGCCCCTGCAACGTTTAACAGATGTGTTACGAATCTGTTGCGATCGGTGCGCGATTTTGCACCGAGTTACTTTGACGATGTCTTCGTCCATAGCCGGGCTATGGATGGAAAGACGGACGTGGAGGTTCATAGAATCCACGTCCGGAAGGTTCTTACACTTATGCGAGAGCATAAGTTGTTCGCGAACCTCAAGAAGTGTATATTCGCAGCGAACGAAATACCACTTCTTGGCTGCATCGTGGGTAACAATGGTCTATACCCTGATCCAGAAAAGATAAAGGCGATTAGCGACTGGCCTGTGCCAGTCGACGTCAAGGGACTTCGAAAGTTCCTTGGCTTGGCGGCTTAATTGCACAATACTCGCGCAACTATGCCGAGATGACCGTACATCTCTCTCGTCTACTAAAGAAAAACGAGAGGTGGTCATGGAGCGCTGAGTGTCAGCACTCCTTTGAAGGTATCAAGAAAAGCTTGATACAATCGCCTGTGTTGGCGATTGCAGACCAGGATAGACCGTTTTATGTGGTCTGTGACGCCAGCGATTTTGCTATCGGCTGCGTATTACAGACGCATGGACGCGCAATCGTCTGCGTGTTAATGCAGTACGACTCAGACGGCATTGAGCGCGTCGTCTGTTATCAATCGCGTCAGCTACAAGCAGCTGAGCGTAATTAATCGGTGCATGACAAGGAACTCCTTGCCATGAAATATGCACTGGCTAAGTTTCGGGTATATCTCTTAGGAGATAGGCCCTTCATCGTTTATACCGACCATGCGTCGTTACGCACGGCCGTAAACAGTCCACACCTCTCGCAACGAATGGCGAGGTGGCTGTCTTTCTTCGCGGAGTACAACTTCTCCGTCGAGTATAAACCAGGACGACTTAATGTCGTCGCTGATGCTCTTTCGCGTCGGCCCGATTTCGAGCCGACTGCTCAACCCAACAGTAGGGGTGATCCCACTGTAGCAACACTAACAGTGAGTGTTCCGTCGTCGAATCTGCTCGACGACGTGCGAAAAGCATACGCAGAAGATGAGTCTCTTCTGCGATTGATGGATTACGTATCCAATCCATGCAGTCAAGCTTTGAAAAGCTTGTCGTCTCAATACCGCTCTTCAACCGAACGGTATTCGGTTCGTGATGGACTGCTGTACTATACAGCAGTCAACGGCGACACACCTCGTGTCGTCTTTCGGACTCATAATGATTTGCGATTCCACATCATGTATGAGTGTCACGATGCCCCAACAAGTGGGCATCGCGGTAGGAAAAAGACTTACCTCATGGTAAGTCGTGACTTCTACGAGCCCCGCCAGTATGAGTTTGTGCGGAGATACATTCGCGCATGCGAAGTTTGTCAACGGGTAAAGCCTACTCTTCATCCCGCGCACCCTTACAGCCTCTTCCGATTCCGGCAGAGTGTTGGCAGTCCGTATCAATGGACTTCGTCTTTGGGTTTCCCAAAGAAGTTCACATGAATACTGGTGTTCTTGTGTTGCTGATCGGTTCAGCAAGATGGTACATCTTGTTGCTGTACCGGAGTCAATCACAGCCCAGGGCTGTGCTCGTGTCTTCACCGATACTATCTTCCGACTTCACGGGTTAACCCGTGAGCTCGTGTCCAATAGGGACACCCGCTCTAAGGCGGAATTCTGGTAATCCGTGTTCCGTTCACTTGGAACACGTTTGACGATGTCAACTTCTGACCATCCCGAAACAGATGGTCAAACGGAACGCGTCAACCGCGTCCTCGAAGAGATACTTCGAGGGTATGTCCACTCGTTTACGAGTTAGAGCTAGTTCTTGCCGATGGCGGAATTCGCCATCAACAACTCGGTGCATGCGTCAACAATGCATACACCGTTCTTCGTGAATGGCCTACGCCATCCACGTTTACCCGCCTTCTTAGAGTGTGACTCTAGTTAAAGGGGGGGTGGACTCGCTCGAACAAAAACCGATCTGGTTCTTGCTCATCACCCGTCGACAATGGTGTCGACGTGATGGATGCCGATGTCGATGCGATCGACATCGATGATGATGATGACGACGATGCTGGTATATTCAGCATCGCCAATGACTGCCAAAGTGAGGACGATGACACCCTAACTGGTGAAGACAACGTTCTTTCAGCAGTGTACACAAAGCGCACTGCTGTTGACAAGGATGAATTAGCAGAGGGATTTCTGCTGACTCGCGAAGCGGTTGTCCGCTTCGTTCAAGACTCTATTGCAGATGCACTAGACAGGCAGAAAAGAAACGCAGACAAACATGGAAGAGCAAGTGTTCTTTCATTTGATGAAGGAGACCTAGTATTACTGTCTACAGTAAACTTACCGAAACACGCAGTGACAAACGTTGGCAGCAGTAAATTACTGCCCAAGCATATAGGTCCGTTTCGTGCGTTACGCCGAATGGGCAACGCATACACAGCTGAACTGACCCGTAAGATGCGTACGCATCCTACGTTTTACGTTGGACGTCTCCGCCCGTACTATCAGTACGAGCCCGTTTCGATATGCGAAGAACACCTCCGCGGTCGAAGCCGAGACTACCTTCGAGTGGTCCCGTTTCAACGAGCCAGAAGAGAACGAGTCGAACGTTAGTTCTCAAGTTGTGCAAACGCAAATGCGGCATGATCGTCCGAACGATCGTGCGCCAAGGAACTTCAATTATCCTTTACAAAATCATGGAGCTCATAACGCCGAGTCCGTTCATGATCCAGGTCATCTTGTAACTGTTCCGTTACACGGTTCAGCTCTTGAACATCAACTTGATCCGACCCTCGTGCCAGATCGGGTGTTCCCGCCGCCACCACATCCTTTGGTGGAACGAAATGTCAATTCGCTCTGAGTGCACCTTCAGGTTCACGGTATTTGACTGATTATGTTCGCTTGCGTATCAACCTTGTATATCTGCCAAATTCAACGGGCTAAATACAGTATTTGCAGACTTCGATTCGAGATTTTTGTAACTTGTGCTCGATGTAGAGCCGCTGAACAGGGTACCACAATCATCATGATGAACTAGCTCAATAACGAGAAAAACTTGCATGCCCCAATAAAAGTCATTTTAATTTGTTGTTTTAATGTTTTTTTTGACTTGGTACATCGTGTCGATGAGGCTTCCGCAATCAAGAGGCTTCATTTTACATCAAAGTCGGAACATATTGCCCTTCTAGGCATATGACTTATTTAAAAAGGAAGCATTTGGGCGTGTGGAAGCCAATTTCGTGCACTTATTTAGAAGTATTCTCATTCTACACGCTGGACACTTGCTTGAGCCCGTAATAAACTTGATGAGCGACATTCAAAGTCCAAAATTATCTCCATTCTGCCGAAATTAAAATGTAGATGAGTTTTTTTTAATTTATAAATTGCAAAAAAATGAACACATTTAACTTGGTTCATCTTATAACAACAGTTTGGCCAAAGCGATCATTATGCAAGGAGTAACATACTACACAACCGGAGAAAATGGACCCGCGTAAGCAACGCCATATAGATAAAGCAGGGATTTGGCAACGAGTAGATATCTGTACTTTAAGATTGACCCATCAACATTCTGTATGATTATTACACCCACATTAGATGCCAATCATAGGCTGACTGTCCCGGAGTTAACAGTGGAAAATTTACCTCGAATTATCATCGACTTAATCGCGGCCTTGATTGCATTGCACCGGTGCATTCGACCATGAATAATCTAAAGAATTTCGACATGTAGCTGGCTTGGAGAAAAACAAACTTATAGCATATTGGCCTTTGCATGCAAACATTTAGGAGGTTTAGCTGCTCGGTAGGTCGGAGACCGAACCCAGCAACCCCGCCCCCCCCCTATTTGTGGCATCTTATTTTGCTATAAAACTGTCAATTAAGACATTTAGGACTCTAGCTGGATCGAATAGGCAATTTTTTATAAGATCCGGAACATTGCAGACCAATTTGTCTACCAAGGTGCTTGCCAGAGTAATTACTCAGACAAATGTTGTTCTATTAAAATTGAGACTGATTAATTTAGTCTTTCTCGATATCGTGAACCCGATTTAAACTCAAAGTGTTTTTGAAACCTATGGCATTATCTAGCCAAAATTTTGAGTCCTAACTTTGGTGCTTAAAACTAACCGTTGGAATAAAAGCTGATAAGTCGCAGTAACGGGTGTTTTACACTTGGTTTATATGTGCGAACCGTTTCAAACAGTGTAGTTAGTGGTCTTCTGTGCGATTGAATACGATTCGTGATGTGGACAGTAGTCTTGGCCCAAAATTAACTGCTCATACACGCGTAGTACAGCCTACTGCCACCAACCGCTACATCCCTTCGAATTTTGTTTGCTCCGCCACACCGTTTGTTTAATGCAAGTGAGGGTCGATTCTTACTTGCTGTTTATTGCCTTAAACACCTTTTTTTTAATCTAGTTGGTTGCCAACTTGATTGACAAGCGTTATCAGCACAGATTCTGTAAAGGGGTGCCTCCGTTCTAGGATAGTTTACATGAAGAACGTATCAAGTATGAATATTATGTTTTTAAGCATACTAATCTCGCAATGTTATCGTAACAGGTAATTTTGTGATGAAGAACAAGTACACTGTTTATTTGTTGATGCAGAGCAAAATTATCAATCGATACAGCCAAGCCACGACAGAAGAGCGCAATGAGTTATGAGCAGATACTTACGATTCATGTTCGTATTAAGAAGGTGCTAAAAGTCGGCCAAGTATTTGTTACTTACAAGACAATAACTTCATCGAACGCAATTCTACTTTAACCCGTATATCGTATTCAAACCTTCTTCTGCACGATACGTGTACTTCAGATTTAAAGAACCTGCTCATGTTTTAGTCAGAGTAAGTAGTTTGCTTTTTGACAGTACAGGCGATCGGTGGCCCGTTGCATCTTCACTGCCTGATTTTCTATCCAGACTGTTCATCTCAACAACCCAGTCTTCCGTCGACGGTAAATCGCAGGTATCTGCTTTATCCGACGCTCTCGATTTCTCTTAGGATCATACTTTATATTGAAGTTGATTTAACAGGCCATAAGCTTGTCTATGATCACTTGTAATAATCGTTTTCTGAACATTTAACTCTGCGCGGCCTGACGCTCCAGATGTGATTCGAAAAGCACTCGTAGCTACTGTAGCTGTTACCCTTAAAGGTTGGCGAAGCCAATAAAGTTCGTCACTGAGGTCTGCAGTTGCAAGTACTATGCGAGAGCAATAGTGCAGCAAATTCATGCTTGAGTCTGTCGAAGAAGAATTGAATTTGGTGAAAGTGTTGAGTTGCGAATATGACAACAAGTTTTTTTCACAGGCGGCACATACAGCACGTCTTAGAATTGCATGTTGAGT